GCAATGGCCACTTGCTCGGGCAGCACCGAACTACATGAGGAGGTCATTCTTCTACACCCCCATTGCAGCATGGAACGACATTCCTGAGCAAGTCATCCAGGTGCCTCCTGTATCGAAGGGAATGCAGGCCTTCAAGTCACGCAAAATGCCAGCACCTGATGCGCCAGGGTTGGTTGTGGGCGACAGCATTCCATGCCTAAGTGTGACATTATTGCATTCTCCAGTCCCAAAACGATCACCTAGTTATCACCCCCACTGAACTGTACGTTGCTCTCTATAGCTCCCATAACACCTCGTTGCAGAATGTTTTTGCGTTGTGTTTCTTTCCTTTCTTCTTTCCTTTTGCTCCTTGGGCATGTGCACTACCTTAAAAATGAAGAAGAAAAAAAGAAAAAAGTGTCTTTCCCTCTGTGCAGAAGGTGGTTTCTCTTCTCCTTAGAGTTTTGGCACATGCTACGATTGACATGACTGTGCAGTGTAGCCTTTGCAGGTCAATTGCGAACGAAAGATCCTAACTAGAACTTAGAAGTCATTGTTACTGCAACAGGTGTAAGGTCAAGGAGAAAAGCGATTTCTGCCACTGCTTCCGACCCAAACTGAGCCACTCTAGCTAGCTCAAGGATACTGGTAAGTCCTGTTCCGTATGTCATTATGACAATGCACAGCCGTGTGGAACCAGCTACCACCTCATCTCCGTTCCGAGCCCAGTCACCTTCAGTTCTTTGCCCTGCTAAAAGCGCATCATGGCTCCGTTTAAACTGGTTTTCGGCTTGTGTGGTTTTGTGGTTTCGCGGACTGAAGAATAGGAAACAATACGTCAATAGATAGGGGGAAGTGGTCCCGTCCACGGCAAAGAGGGCTCGACAGTGCTGGGGTGCATTGGAGCTAGTACATAATGGAAGTGGTCTTCACCAAGAAAACATAATCTGTTGCTATTCCGAGTTTCTTGAGGTATCAATCATCAGGCAACATATCTTACTGAAGCAGGGCTGTCAGGTTCACTAAAGATACACACAGCCACACAGCAAGGCGCACAAAAAGAAAACGTGAAGTGTGAAGGGGAGAGGCTGCTGGGTGGAGGCGCTGTAAAATGTCCATTATTGTCACAAGCGCTGAATCGAGCGCGTAAATCCAGAGTGCACTTGAGCGGAACAAAGGGAGTTGATAGCGCATGCCTGGCGTCAGGGGGTGCAAGGCCACTGTGCTGCGATATTGGCGTTTATAGTCATTGACACAACAATAATAGTTCAAATGGGTTGGGAGCAACACTGGCTCACACTCAAATCACTGCTTTTCACCAGAAAAATATTATATTTCAACGTTTCGGTCATGAAATAACCATCATCAGGAATGAAGTGGGCACACCGGTTAGGATGGGTTAATAAATGAGGAGCGCTGCGAACTGATAACAAATCACACCTGCATGCACTATGACGAGAGAGAGAGAACAAAAGGACAAAACATCACCAAAAAAACAGGTATAGAAATAACGCAATACGTGAAAACTCTAAATATGGCACAGGTACAGGCAACAAAAAGAATGTACATGTGCACTAGGTGCGTGCAGACATGTAATTGCAGGCGCTAGCAACAACAGTAGTAGTAACAGTTCACTAGTGCAAGGGGTGCAAAACCACCACTATCCAGGAAGTGCCAATCGAGCGAGGTAGAATGCACAAGACGCAACGTGGTTTATCGTCTGACCTGCAAGTGCTCGGAGAAGTATGTTGGAGAGACTGGCCGTAGTGTAGCAACGCAAACAAAAGAACACAATGATAACTCACGCAACAAGACGTCTAGAAAAGCCCTGGGCGAGCACTACCGACTTCACCATGGCGGCGAAGTACTGCCGCTTGGCGAGTCGGCATTCACAGAGGTTCGCGTCCTTGCCACTGAGTCGGATCGGGCCAGGAGGAGAATACGCGAAGCAATACAAATTCGCGACACGAGCCCCAGCATAAACAATAACGCAGGGTGGGTCCTCCTGTGAAGTCTCTGGTGAAGTACTGCCTTGTACATATTTCTGGCCCTGATACTCGCTCTTCCTGGATAGTGGTGGTTTTGCACCCCTTGCACTAGTGAACTGTTACTACTGCTGTTGTTGCTAGCGCCTGCAATTACATGTCTGCACGCACCTAGTGCACATGTACATTCTGTTTGTTGCCTGTAATGTGCCATATTTAGAGTTTTCGCGTATTGCGTTATTTCTATACCTGTTTTTTTTGGTGATGTTTTGTCCTTTTGTTCTCTCTCTCTCGTCATAGTGCATGCAGGTGTGATTTGTTATCAGTTCGCAGCGCTCCTCATTTATTAACCCATCCTAACCGGTGTGCCCACTTCATTCTTGATGATGGTTATTTCATGACCGAAACGTTGAAATATTATAATATTTTTCTGGTGAAAAGCCGTGATTTGAGTGTGAGCCAGTGTTGCTCACAACCCATTTTTACTTATGAAGCTGCGTGATGCGTCCTACAAGATTTTAAATAATAGTTCATGTATATAAAGAGAAAAGGACCTACAAGTACATTGTGTAAGTAATTACATTGTAGTTACTAGTTAGGACTAAGAGAAAAAAGAAAAAAAACTAAGAGTCCACTAGAGGTAATGATTTAATATACAGTCAGATAGTGCGACAAGGCACAAAACTGACAAGGATATTAGGGAGGTTTAGTCCCACGTAATCCGTGTGTACTTTACGTGCGTGTACCATGTGCACGGGTGTTTCGCAGCGGCCACTCGTCAAGATGGCGGCAAATCCGAGAGTACAAATATTTCGACTCTGGCTATGTGCGCGGCGGATGCGAATCTCGCACGTGCATGCAAAATCTAGCCTTCTGGCAGATCTGGGTAGAGCAAGTGTACGTGTGTGAGAACGACGACTTTTCCGAGAGAGAATGTGGCTCTTTTCATCCCAACATTTTACTCGTCACGCTCTCCCTCCCAGCTTATTGATACGAGTATCTGCTACCGAGTAGAAGTCTCCATCTTCACAGTAGGTCAGGCAAAATCGCAACGTTGAAATACTTTGCTCACTTGGTGTTTTTGGTCCTTTGAGATGATGTGGCTGTTGTGTACAACTCGAAGTGACAAACTTGAGACCCCCGCGCCACAAAAAACTAAGGCGCGCCACAAAGTTTCGTTTGGCTATTCAATGAAAGGATGTATGGAAGCAGGGATAAAAACTATCGTGGCTGCCGGCAAAACTCCTGGTAATGTAAGAAACGGGGTGTGACTTTGGTAATTCCAAGGAGAATGTACGCACGGCCATTTCACAACGAAGACGAAACTACGAGCTCAAAAACACTCCGATTTTCAAACAAACGACGCAGGAAAGAAGACATGGCCGCAGTGTTCCCGTGTGGTCTTCAAAACACCTAATTTTACTTCGATAGCGGCTGGTTCAGGGCAAATTCAGGCCCAATTCGACAGCGTCGTACCGCTCAGGTTCGCCCAAAACACGAGGAAATGTACGGTAGATCCGAATGCGTACGCATTTTGCGTACGGGGACGACTGGCCAGAGTTCATGCACTGCAAACACCCGTGTGTGATACTCAGCGACCCACGTACAGACGTTTTCTGTATCACGACATACCGTGTATGGAGGCTCACCGACGTTCCGCCAGAACGTGGGTGAAAATCAGAATGGAGCGCATTGTGCAAGCTGTTACTTGTTAGGGTGCTCAGCTGAAGAAAATCACAATATTCGATGAGCTTCGAAGCTTCGTCTGTTAGCTGGTCGAATGTCTCAATATCCTTGTCAACTTCGTGCCTTGTTGTCGCACTATCTAACTGTAAAGTTAGGATCTCGCTACCCTGGTTGACTGTTTTAAATCATAACTAGTAACTTATAGGTTCTTTTCTCTTTTACATATTACTATTGGCTCGACATTCGAGTTTATAAATTGTGCAGAGGCAGTGCGTCTGATCAGATGTTGCCTGATGATTGGTCTTTGCCATAAAACTCTGAGTAACAACGAAAAAGCCCTACATTGTATTTTACTTCCGTTTGCGTGCCTCATGAGTATTGTAACACTGTATGGTGTTCTGTTGTTTATTGAAGTTTCCATTGCGCAGGTTTAGTGAACATGACGACGAACATTGGCCTCAGCGATACGTGCACTCCTTTCGAAGCAAGAATCACAGCTCTAATAGAGAGGAACAATCGCCTGGAGAAGCGACTCGCCCAGGACAGGGAGCTGATCGTGCTCCTGTGTCGAGAGAACATGGAGAAAGATGCCGTCATCGGACAGCTGCTTGATCAGCAAGGGACACGATATCTATCCTACAGTCTGACAGGTATGACAAACTGCATACTTTGTACCAGGGAGCACTAATGTTTTAGTACTCGAAACCTTTATTTGAAAGAACCCGAAGTTAAAATAGCAAAAAAGAAGCAAACCAAGTAGGTACTCCCTGGTGTACACTAGCTCCAAAGGCGCTGTGAAATGTTCTGTAGTAATCTGTACTCTTGATTCTTCACAGTCCAGTAAAACCTGTCAAGGCGACCACCTGTCCTAAAAGACCTCAGAAACCAGGACCAATGGATGATATTTCCAGTCAAGTGACCCTGGATAAGGAGATGACCTGGTAACAGAGACCACGTTTCGAAGCCGAAGGTACCTTGAGCGGTCGTCTTAGACAGGTTTTATTGTATGTACATGACATTGTACATGTATTATGGAGAACCGTCGGTGCATGGAAAAACGGTCGTTAAGATCAGGTGGTTGCTAATACGAGAGGTCGCTGACCCAAGGTTTTACTGTATTTAGTTTTCACACTGTACGCGTATGTCAGAATTACACAGATGCTGAAAGGCCTTTAGAGGAGTGTCCATATGAAATATGCATCAATTCGTTCTTTAGAATATTCGTTTTAGCCCTACTTACAGTAAGGAGTCGGTCACGGTGTGTGTATGTGTGTGTGTGTGTGTGTGTGTGTGTGCGTGTGTGTGTATGTGTATGTGTATATGTGTGTGTGCGTGTGTGTGTGTTTACAGGTCAAATGATAGCCGAATGCACGGAGTCTCCTGAAAAGCATCAAGCACCAGTGTGCTATGCTCTGCATTCAACACCGATGGAAAAGCATCCTGATGACTCTACAGCTCCGCCTGGGCCGCCACTTCCCGTACAGGAGACATCTGTGAAGCCAGGCTACGGATAGCAACCTGTAACACACTCAGCATACATGTACATGTACATTGTACATTATCCTGGAGTGAATGTTCAGTATGGTATATTGTACATTATCCTGGAGTGAATGTTCATTATGGTATATTGTACGAGTTACATGTACAATGTGCAAGTACAAAGTCTTGTTCCTGTATACATGTATACATGTATGTCGGCAGCTGAAACTTTTTAAACTTCAGTTTCTTTTCCCCTTGGCCCTTTTCCCTTTTTTGAAGACGATTATTAAGATGTATTTGTAGATTAGTTCAGGTATCCTTGCTGCATCGCTAGATTATAGTTCACTTTATCGGCCACAGATCAAACGCACTGCAAGCCCCCTTCCCGCAAGCTGCGTAAACACATGCGCACACACACACACATATACACACACACACATCCGCTCATGCATAAACATGTAGACATTTGGTCACACACACATGCACGCACCAAGTCACCAATTTGCCTGCACATTCTCGTGGAGTAAATCTGGGTTTAAAAAAATCCAAAATTTGAAATTACACGTGTTTCGGTACACGCATCCGAATTCATAACATTTTAGAACGATAAGAAAAGATTTTCTAATGTCTCTTTCGTTAAAAAAATTTGAATCGCAATGATAAAACCTTTGTCAGTTTGTCTCCAAATCGCTTCTACATGTACATGTACATGAATATGCTATGCCATTTCAAGTTTTTCAAGATTTCTACTGAAAACATTTGTCGTTCTTTTCTTCAGAAAATTTACAATTGTTTCGCCAAGGATGTGTAAGGTTTCGCTCAGTGGTAGAGATGAAGATGACGGAATGTAAAATTTATTTCAAGGATTCCTCAGCCAGCGGCCGTTTAGGCCTATCGAGGGGTTCTCCACTTCTGTACAGTTGATGAGGTTGTGAGAATGCAAAGACTGTGAGCAGAGAAAGAGATAATAACAAGTTATTATAACACGAAGAATAGGCCAACTATGATCTCGGATGAAGAGCCAAGGGTAAATTTATAGTAAAGAGAAAAAGGACCAGTCAGTGTGATGCAATGTTATCGCATGGGCTAACTGTTTAGTAACTGGTGTTAGTGGACATTACAGCGTAACTTGTAGTTTCTTGGTCCGTTTTTCTTTACTATAAATAGAACAATTAGTAAGGACTAGGGTATTTTGATGTTCACTGAAGTGAGCAGAACAATGAGGAGAACGAGGAATATAAGTGAAAACCTTTGCAGTTGAATTGAAACGTAGTCATCCTATTATGCAGGTTTCTTTTAAACTCAGCAATATAATTATTATGATCGTGGTTATGTCAGGCGGCAGACATCCATGATCCGGAACAACTCCGAGAGGCAAAGTGGGTACCTCTTGCTGATGTTGCTGTAGGCTCGTGCTTGTGCCGAAATGCTCCACTGGATCGAGTAGTCTTCCTGTCTTTCCTTTCAATTTCCAGACATACTTGGATAGCTCGCTAATCGCTATTCTTCCTTCTCTGCTCGTGGTTGAATGAGCACTTGTGGTTTTCGTACCGGGTCTTGAATGTCAGCTGTGTTCCTCGGATAGAGAAACATGCCACAACAAGAGAAGTGATCTAATCTCGAAGTGCAGGCATGCCGACAACTAATTCTCGCTCGCATACTAGACTGGGGTCACATGATGAGATGTGTCTTGTGGTGGTGAGTGCTAGATGGGTTCCAATGGAACACGCGTACACACACACACATGTACACACATGTACACCTCACCTCACCTCATCGCAGACCTGTCCATCGCAGAAGCAACGATAGCGAACTGCTACATGTACATGTACATGTATGTTAGACATAGCAACTAGTGCTGGCATTACAACATCCAACAGCTTGCAAGGCTGATGAATTGACCGCCACTAATTTTAGCCTGGTATCCACCACACAGCTGATTGAAGTGGCTTTTTCTGACCAGTGAATCCCTATTTTCATGCTTTTTTCATTTTTCATTCTTTTTTCTTTTTCGACACACACACACCACACCACATACTCCGGCATACACTGGCTGTTGGTAACCAACCAGGAGAATGAAAGAAGAGCTAGGAGAATAAGAAAGAGAAGAAAGAAGCGTGCGACCATAATCATCGTACAAACACACACATACACATACACACACACACACACACACACACACACACACACACAAACACACACACACACACACTCTCTCTCTCTCTGTATGTGTGTCTCTCTCTCTCTTTCTCTCTCTCTCTGTATGTGTGTCTCTCTCTCTCTTTCTCTCTCTCTCTCTCTCTCTCTCTCTCTCTCTCTCTCTCTCTCTATCTATCTATCTATCTATCTCTCTCTCGCTCTCTCGCTCTCCCTCCCGACCCACTCTTGGTGCGTCTAGGTGGCCATGAAGTCGAGACCCTAGGTCGGCGGAGCTCCCTAGACCTCACCACCACTGCCACGACTCAGGTTGTGCGTGCTTCCCCTAGCTGCATCTCATGTTTGGCATTTAAGTGGTCTTTGTAAAAAAATAAAGTAAAAAATGCATCGACGAGGCGCCAGGTGCGAACTGATGGTGGTGGTGGTGAGAAGAGGAGCACTGTGCCAGAACTTTGCAGCTTAGAGAGCGTGTGTGGGCAGGCGTGTGTTTTCCGCCATATTGCCAGGTGTGTCTTTACCACCATATTTTATCAACCATAAGTACAGCTGCAGAGGTATCTTCAACTTCATTCTCCCGAGTCAAGCTCCGTATGAAGACAACCAAGAAGAAGATTGCCTGATGAGCTCAGCGGGGACGAAACGTACGTCGCAATCGAGCTACATGTATGTCGTTGCTGTGTCATCTTCTATGTGCCATGTAATGCGCTACTTGATGTACCAGCCTGCTATATCGGATACCGCCAACCATGCATCGACGAGGTGCCAGGCGCGAACTGATGGTGGCGGTGGTGAGAAGGAGAGCTCTGTGCCAGAACTTTGCAGCTTAGAGAGCGTGTATGGGCAGGCGTTTGGTTACCGCCACATTGCCAGGTGTGTATTTACCACCATACATGTATAATTATATCAATCAGAAGTACAGCTGCAGTGGTGTCTTCAACTTCATTGTACATACATGTACATATATGTTCTGGCTGCCCGTTTTGGATCCATCAGTTGCCTGATGATCGTAAAGATACGTGAAACTCGGAGTTGTGACAAAGCTTCCAAACTCTCTCTTGTGTACATGTACATGTAAAATCACACGTACATGTCGATCTACGACCTGAGAGTCAGACCTATACCGAGGAGGATGGTTTCACCACCCTGGCAATCCTCAAGTCATCAGCTAAGCAACACGATAGCAGCACTCTGATCCTTTTAGGATGGACCACTGTTATGAACCCTCTAAGATTCTCTAAATTGTCAGGATCGTACGACCACACGGCACGAGGACAACTGTTTTCCTTTACACAGTATATTTCACTTCATCTGATAATTAACAATGAACACTAATAACACCAGCTATTTATAGCATGCAAAAAACAGCGTACATGCAAAACATAAGCATATAAAACTGGACATAACAGCGTATACAGCAAAAACACACACAGCGCATATAGCGTATGCCATGCAGCAACATCAGCGGTACGGCGGAGTCGAAAGACAACATTGCGACGAATACAACGCCATAAGCGCGAAGGCCTTTCCCAATTGAGAACTGGTGGTTTGCAACATTCTCCCCACCAAAGGGCTTCTCACCGCCGTACAACAATGCACACAAGTCAAAAACGATCCGGGGCTCTGACTATGCGCCCAGAACGTGTCATCTCCTGCTGCCGTGGTGGTGGTAACGGTGCTGTCGGTTCATACGCTGGCTGCTGAGGGACGATAGCAGGTTGAGCGGTATCTGCAGGCCCAGGAGCCACGTCCTGTGACGATACTTCTAACGGCACTAACCTTTGGATCGGCCTCAACAGGGTACTGGTACTCAACTTAACCTTGGCAACACGACGCTTACCATCTCGACCAGGGAATAACTCGATGATCCGTCCCAAACGCCAGAACTGTTTGCGCTTGGTATCATCGAGAACAAAGACCACATCACCCACAGCTAAAGGGCGCGACATGGTCTGTTGGTGTTTGTTCAGCTGACTTAGGTACTCCACCTCCCAACGATTCGTGACATGCTCCAGTGTCCGACTGAGGTAACGCAATCTCGATGACATCTGCGCAGCGTCCAGGGTACCTGCTGGCTTCTCTGACGACATCCAGATGTCACCCATCATCATTACAGGGGTTACTGGTGGCTCATCCAGGCTATCAGACACATAAGTTAGCGGACGACTATTCACCACTGCTTCAACCTCATACAAGAGGGTCTCAAGCTCCTGGACCTTCAGAAACGCTGTTCCCATTACCTTTTTCAAGGCACTCTTCACTGTACCAACCATTCTCTCATAGAAGCCTCCATGCCATGGTGCAGCTGGAGGATTGAACATCCATGGCACACTCAGTTTGTCAGATGCCGCCTTGAACGTTGTAGCGTTGTCAGACCTGATCCGAGACGGCAAACTACGTCTCGCGACAAACTTCCGAAATGCTATCAAGAATGACTCAGTACTTAAACTATCGACCACCTCCAAGTGAACTGCTCTGGTGGTGGCACACACAAACAATGCTATCCATACCTTCGGAGATGACTCACCACGGCGCACGTACAACGGACCAGCATAGTCGATGCCGGTAGTTGCGAACGGCCTCTCGTGAACAACTCGGTCTTCCGGCAGCGGCGGGCAGACTTCTGAGGCAGCCTTAGCCTTGTAGCGGCGGCATGTAACACATCGCTGAGTAATGTTGCGTAGCGCCCGTCGACCACCGATAATCCAAAATTTCTGACGGATGAACGACAAGACTCCTTCTACACCTTGGTGCATCCTTTCAACATGCATTTTCTCCAACAGCAACTCGGTCAGATGATGTTTGCCTAACAGGACTGGGTGCTTGGCTCCATACGCCAACTCGCTGTGCTGAAGTCGTCCCCCGGCTCTGAGCACTCCATGCTCATCCAGAAACGGTGCAAGCTGATACACCTTCGACCCAGGCTTCACTGGTTGATCTTGCTTGATCAGCTCAAGATCCTCAGCGAAACATGCGGCTTGAACGATGCGGTACAATACGTTGTCTGCTGCAAAATAGAGTTCAGCACGAGGCTCAGTGTGCTTCCACTGCAACATCCGAGTCACCATGCCCTGTGCCCTCGACCATTTACTGAATCGGAGCCACCATTCCTTATCAGATTCTCGACTACAGGTGGTGGCTGACACTCGTACCTCTACACTGGACTCATCTGTAGCTGCGGTTGAGGATGCGGTGGGCCAGTCATTGGGCTCCGTGATCCAGGTTGGTCCGCCCCTCCAGAACGGACTACGGATCTGCTGTGCACTACTCCCACGCGACGGTAAATCTGCTGGGTTGTGAAGGCCCGGGCAATGGTTCCACACAATGCCGACCTTCTTCGATATCTCTTGGACTTGACTGACGCGGTTAGCCACAAATGTTTTCCATTTGTACGATGGATTACTGATCCAATGAACGGTAGTGAGACTGTCAGTCCAGCCATAGACTTGCGTGACGGTCACACGCAGCTCCTTCACCACAAACTCAGCGTAGCGAGCCGCTAGACATACTGCTTGTAACTCAAGGCGGGCTAACGTGGGCGGAGACACAGGTGCCACTTTGGCCTTGGCAAATACCAAGTGCGACTGTCCATTGACGACGGCATACAAACAACATCCAAACGCTTTCTCACTGGCATCGGCGAAGGCATG